CCTAATAATGGATATTATGTCATGGCAAATGTCATGATCCACAAATTTGTTATAATGGATATTATGTCATGACAAATGTCATGAAAATTTGGCCATATTACATTCCCAAAGCAAGAAAAATTTGATTCCAATTTGGAAGACAACTTAGGCTATTGGCTATCGAACTAGAGTTCCAAAATCCAAACAAATAATGCTTTTAGATTTTGGTTCTTATTGCTAATTCTTTATTCTATGATGCCCAAATATCAAGTCTAGCTCAAATTCGTTTCTTTTAAAAAAAAAAACAATCACGAAAAAAGCAGAGCTAATTAAATTTATAAAGACGAACTTCTATCCTATCTCGCATGGAAGATGGATAACCAAGAAAATCTAGGCATAAAACATCTATGAAAAAAATTGATTGGAACTTGCAGTTGTACTTATTTTATTTTTCTTTTAATACCGTTTGGAATACTACTCTAATACATAAGTTAAGATAGATTGCTATTTATTTGCATAATTTTAATGTTTCAATAATCAGTATTTTATTTTTTGTATAATTACTGTTATGTTAAGTGATCATATGACTATGTTATTTACATGATAATCTTATGTGTTTAAATTTCTAACTTTTATGAATATTTAATTGGTTAAAATTCAATGAAATAATTTGGTGAAATCAATATAATTGTTGTTTTGGTTTCACCTAATCTTCTACATCTTTTACTGTAGAAAGAAAAATGATGCTGATCAAATATAATATTTATTGGAGGTTTTTTGCATTGTCCTAAAAAATATAATATCCCATTCTTTTTATTAGTGACTTTTACTTTGCTATGCGAAGAGAATTACAAGAAAAATGAAATACTATATTTTCAGGAACTGATTATTAAACTTCGCATATATTTAGATACAATTAGTTTTAGAATACTATGCAATTGAAAATTTATTACTACTTTTTGAACGTGCTTGGTAATAGTAGATTGAAAACATTCGTGCATCACACGAACGTAGAAACTAGTTTATTATAAAAACACGAATGTTTCGTGCTAAATGTTGAGTGACTAAAATATTTTTAAAATATTAATCGACTTTTATACCCTTAACTATTTATATTAATTTTGATAGGAATTTATAATGGAAGGACACAACTAGAAATAGACACGTTAGACACGTTAGGATGAAGAGTTGTAGTAGAATAGGGACTTAATAGTGGAAGAAGTAGAGTTATGAATGAATAAGAAAAAGTAAATCCTAAAACTAAATATTCTAAACTTTCCTCTAGCTAAATGTGGAACAAATACTTTAGAATTGAAGGAAGCTAGTTCAATTGTGTATAGTCAGATATTTTCAGAGTATTACAATAAAAATAATTAGTTTACAAAATTGAAGAAAACTTTTTAGTTTTCGTTTGAATTCCAAGACGTGAAAAACAAAGGTTCGACTAATTTTATTTTCTTAAAACATTTTGAGTTTGTTATCCGAAACTAACAACGCATTGTTATTCAAAAGAATTTTTGTATATTTTTTATTGTATATTATTACAAATCCAACATACTTAAACAGTTTTGTCTTTGATTTTATAGTTTTAGAAATTTAATTTTGACCCACTTTTTCAAGTTCCGGACATTAATACTTTTTTATTTTTTATTAATAAGATAGCTATATTAATAATTATAAGCTAGCATAACTGTAGATCAAAGGAACGACTATAGGATCACATTTACAAATGCACGATCAATACTAAATCACATTGGACTGAAAGAAATTGAAATCTATTGGGATTAGGCTTAAATTATTTTTCATATAAATTATTTCACATTGAATAAAATCGTAATACATTAGGACAATCATATTTAATATTTTGAAGTAAACTAGCTAAACATTAAATTCTTTAAACTGAAGCTCTAATTCATACTAATTTCACAAAATATTGTTGAACAATGGTGAATTATCTACTAACTGACTCAAACTAATTTGCACTAAGGATTTATAAATCTGGTGAACTTTCTCTCATAAAGTTTGAATAAGATGTATACTATCGTAATTACTTTATTAAAAAAACTCAATTTTAGGTTTGATAGTTGACTGCAAACGAACGTGTGTTGGATGATCAGCCGCTGAAGATGCTGGTGTTACGACTCTTCACTTGACTCGAAAGATCATTCTAGTTCCATATAAATTACAAAGCAATGGCCAATTACGCTTTGAATTGATATATTAATTTACTAACGACGATAGTTAATTAGATACATCAATTAGTTCATTATATTAGTCTAAAAATGATACTATTAGANCGTGCAAAGCACGATCATAGAGACTAGTAATTAGATAAGTAGCTATTTTGTATTCTAAAATAAAAAGTAAAGATTTTTTTCCGGGTGAACATGTAAGTAAGTTTTACGACAAATATATGTATATATAAGACATGAAAATGAGTGTTTATTTTAAAAATACATATTTTTATGTAAAATATATTAAAGAATTATAAATTAGTAACTAATACTGTAAAGAATAATCAGTATCTTTCAAACAAATAATATTTTAACTTGAATTAGATCATAATAAAAAATCTAATAATTGTTTATCAACTTACGTGAATATAATATGAAAATCATGATTTGTTTATTTTTTTAAATTAAAAAAGAAGAAGATAAATATGATTTTAAAAAGGACTTTTCTATAATAAACATTTATACTAATTAATAGAACATAAAACTATTTATGGAAAAAAATACCAACATTATTATCAATCTATCTACAATATAATTTATACAGAAACTCGTTATTATGAACCTAATATTTTTTTCAAATTATCATATAATCAACCAAAATTCTTCCGATAAAATAATTATTTCAATAAAGATATAAAGGGAAGGAAAATAGCAATATAGCAAGTCATTGAGTTCATTACTATTACCAATACACCAAACTACAAAGTACTACAATTTGTACTAGTGTACTACGATTGCAGCAATAAGAGAAAAGATTTAAAAAGGAAGAAGAAAAATTAAAGGAGTTATAAAGTTACTAATACTATTATCTATTATAAGGGCTCGTTTGGTACGAAGGATAAGTAATAATTAATCCTCCGACTAAATTTAAAAAGAGTTTATCCCATATTTGGTTGGTAGAAAACTGTGAATAATTAATCCCGGAATTGTAGTGTTTTTTTATCCCCATGGAAAGGTGGAATAACTAATCTCGGAATAATTAATTATGGAATAACTTCTTTCCAACCGAACGATGGGAGCAAATATGTGGCTTCGCCTGGGATAAAGCTTAATCGCCTGTGACAAAATATGTGTTCCGAAATCTGCGGGGGGGCTAAATGTCTTAGATATCAGGATGCGGAACTCAGCTGCAATATGCAAGCTCCTTTGGCAAAAAGGATAAGCTGTGGATTTGTTGGGTACACATCTACTATAGTAAAGGTAAATCTATCTGGGAAACCACTGGAAAGCAAGCTTCCTGGGTAGGGGTGGCAAACGGGCGGATGGGATCATGGGCAGGTCGAAAACGGGTAATGTAAAAACGGATAAATTATCCAACCCGACCCATATTTAATACGGAGAAAACCGGGTTAACCATCAGAAAATATAGATACATATTATTCATGACTTCTTGAATGTGATCACTTTTGGGAGAATTCCTAATCTCCCAAATTTGAGAACCCCAAATTTGAGACTTTATAAATGTAAAATTTAAACTCATTAGTTATCCATTTTCTAAGTGGATAATATGGTTTTTATCCATATTTCACCCGTTTTAAAAAAGTTTATTATCCAACCTATTTTTTAATGAATAATATGGGTGAATAATTATTTTCTTTCAACCATTTTGTCACCCCTATTCCTAGGTGGTGCAAAAAATATTGAAGGCAAGGAAGTTTGTTGATGAAGTAGGGCTTAGGGAGGATTCTTTTAAGGCATTGCAGAAGTTTTCTATCAGGAAAATGTATGCATTACTCAGAGGGGATTTTCAGAAGGTCACATGGAGAAGACTTGTGTGCAACAATTTTGGAGCTCCAAGATGGATATCATTCTTAGGTTGGCAGCATATGAAAGGCTACAAAACAAGGGGACCAATCCTCTATGTGCAAATGTAAATGAGAGTAGTTCCCATTTGTTTTTCATATGTGCAACTTCTGCAGAAATATGGTCCAAGACTTAAATAGCTGGGCATATTCAGGGTACCCATGGATTGGAAGAGTGAGCTGGATTGGGCTACAACTCACTGCAGGGGAAGAACTGCTGCGCTAAGGCTGCGGTGTATAGAATGTGCTTGGCTGCTGCAGTCTATTTTCTCTGGCAAGAAAGAAACATTAGAGTTTACCAGCAGCAACAGAGATGTGCAACTGCTATTGTTCGACAGATAGTACAAGAAGTATTTTACAGAGGATATATGAAGCCACGACTAACAAGGACTTTGCAGATCCTAGATTTCTATCCAAAGTAATTTTATAGGCTGAGAGATAGAATATATGTAATTGTGATACTGAGGTTGGAGGATAGTAGGAGATAGAAGACAGAGGACTTTGAGGCGTGAAGCTCAAGACTCGGATTTGTTATGTTCTTCTACTGTATAGATCTTTTACTTGCTATATAACATACATTACTTACCAAAAAAAAAAGGATGTGGCTTCGGGTTTAAGGAGAAATTTGACAAGATGACAGGAATCTTCCTTTTTTTAGAGATAAATATTTGGAAAAGAGAAAAAGGAAAGAATTTAGAAGGCCATCTGATGACTACATGATGTAATTACCACCAATTCTCAACCCCTTGAGAATTGGAAAGTGTAATTGACTCCCCTCAATTATACCCATACTTGGCCAAATAAAAAGGCCAAACTGTGTAATTACACCCAAAACTCATAACCTGTAGAGCCATTGTTGGCTAACATGACCTACAAGAAATTGAGGACCAACTGTGACATAAGGTCTAACCTGCTTGGGTAGGCCTTGATGGATTAGGCCTGATTGGCGAACATGTTCAGTATCTAGTCAAATGATTCACTCAAGAACGACAAAACACAACCAAAATGATCATAGTTCTGGGCAATAATTAAACTGTAGACATGTTTGGCTTAGCCAACGATGAGAAGACAAGGGATTAAAAACTTCATGTTGTCCCATGCCACCATGCAGCTAGGTTTATTTTCATCAGCAATAATCTTTCTAACAGCATAGACCACAAATCTAATAGAGATTAAACTGCTGTCTAAGACATTATAACAAATCTAGCCGATAATGGTAACTCATCTTCTGGAATGACCCAAATCCTTAAAAGAGCATAGAGCAGATTAACCACATGCTAGAAGTGAGTAGATGAAGAGCAGCTCATACTTGAACTGTGAAAAGAAAGGTATAAACGGAAATGGACATTCATCAAGCTACAGTTGTTCCTTTATTTAGCCTGAGGATGAGATGCAATGAAATCAACAGCCAAATTTATCGAGTGGATCTTGTCAGCTTCATTGTCAGGAATCTCAAACACAAATTCTTCTTCAAGGGCCATCACGATTTCCACGGTGTCTAAACTATCTAAACCAAGATCATTTTGGAAGTGAGCATTTGGGACAACCTGCCAAGTAAATGTAAAATGACATCTGTAAATATAATAGTAACAGTACTACTTCATGAAACTAACAAAGAATGAAATGCAGAAAACAACCTCAAAGATCACAAGTAAACCTAAACTAAAGACTACAAATTCGGACAGCCGTTTTTGTCAGAGAAAAGGATATGCGTCCAGGCTGAAACAGGTAACATTTACATAAACATCAGCAAGACCATAAACAGGTAACAGAAACAGTGGTAGCATCACTAGCAACAAAAATTAACAAGCAGTCACGGACATTCCAAGAATGTGCTGACGTGAAATAGAACTGGAAGAGGATTTAGGGAGATGGGATAGACATGGGAAACAAGGGGGACATTGTTGGTGTGGAGATAGGAAGTGTGTTAAGAGGTTTCCTTCCCCAACATTTCGAGTGTCATACTCATGCCGGAGAAAGATGACTCTGCAACACATCCGTAGAATACATGAAAGACATGTGCATTGGAAATCGTGGTTAGGAGGAATCTTCAGAATTGGAAGATGAACGAGTTTCAAAACCTGGTGGAACTACTTCACAAGCACATCATACCAAATGATACACTGAACTCATAGATATGAAGGGTGAAGACTGAAAAGCGACAGTTTGTTTATAGCCGAATATTACAGTCATAAATTCCCAATAAGAGAAGATTCGGACTTCTCTAACCAAACGAATTGGATCCTTAGGACATCCACGAAGGTGCTTTCTTCTTACGGGTGGCAGCTAGAGATGCGAAATTGACAACAGAAACCTTAAAAAGAAGAGAATCGCTTATGTGTTGGTGCTTCATGTGCATATATTCGAGCCAAGACATATATCATATCCTCTGCAGTACAATGGTGGCGTTGTGTTTGTGGCGGCTGGCCCTGGATTGGTTTAGAATGCAGTGGGTGATGTCGGGCAACGTGAAGAAAGTGCTACATAGATGAGCTTTTAGAAGGACAAAGAGAAGGTCTAGGGCATGGATGTCCCGTTAGCTCTCGTGTGGGTTGTTTGGATAGACAGAAACAGAAAATCTTTCGAAGGGGTAGAATACGATTTTGTTAATATAAGGGATGATTTTTTTATGTTTCGGTTTCTCTTGGTGCAACCATGAAATCCCTGCATCTTTTAGTGAGAATCGTATATTGAGTAAGTTCTCTACTTTTTTGGTATTTGGCTTGTATAGGAGGTTCTCCATAATTAATAATTATTTACCTTGTCCAAAAAGCACAAGGGAGAAATTGCTCCCATAAACTAACCACCAACACTTCTTTTGACAACGGAAACTAACCACTAACACTAAAATACATAATTTCAATGAGATTTAACTATTGAAGTTTTCCTCTTAGTTTAAGAAATCTTTTACTTTGTATGTCACATCTACATATTTACTGTTTATGTAAATACGAGGGTTAAAAATCTAGAGTCATACTATGACAAGCTCTCCATTTCCTTTTTGTGCTCTTCAACTCTTCCATAAGTAAATTTCCTACTAGAATGTTAAAATATAAGCTTAAGAACGTTAGAGTTAAGAATATTTGCAGAGTTCTATACAAAAATTGGACAGTGTCTACATCAATACAAATATCACATGTATATTGTGTTTAACGCCGGTAAATAGGCATGTGTAGCATTCATTACATTATCAAGTCATTAGAATATTTCTTCTCTTATCCACTCCTCACATGATAACAAAGCATTTGTGAGAGAATAATCCTAAAAAGCAGTGTCATCACAATTCCCCCTACGATGCCTTGTCATAGACTCGGAACACCGCTTTTAAGTTGTGAAATTGATAGAGATTCTACTTATTCTGACCTCTTTCCTTTCAACAGAGCTCATATAAGAATCCTTTTTTTTATTTATAATGAGAACTTATACAAGAATCCTATTCTTCAATGACCTCAAGAACTTGTTGCTATGGAAGAAGTTTTCCTCTCTATTTGTTGTATTTCCTTGCTAGAGTTCAGAACCGATAACACTTCACCATATTGTACACTAGACTTATACTATAACTTAATTATGCACAATAGATATAAGGGCGAATTGCAAGTTACCTCCCCATGATATTTAGCAGCAGATTAGCTCCCTACCTCATTGCTCATATCTCTCCGTCACTCTAAATGACGGAGTGATAGCTCTTAATAACACTAGTATAGAAACTACAAGGGAACAATCTGCATCTTTATCACTATTCAAAAGTACCACCTAACATTGTAAGCATGAGTAAACACAAAGGGCAGTAGACTGGGGCTTTCAGACCACAAAGAGGTAATGAGCCAATTTCTTCGCCATAGATCGGCAATCCACAAGTTGCTGAACCACAACGAGGACATATTCATTATTCGTAACTTTTGCTGCATTTTGTCTTACCTCCAGTCAGATATCAGTTACACCACTTCCCTGAGGCTGAATCAATCTTAAAGCTGATTAATAGATGGACATCAGCATCCTTTTGAGCGTCCACTCAATACCAGAATTTTATCAAATTCCCCATTAGGTGCAGTACAGCTCCTATTTTTATCTTCTCAATTCTAAAATAAAAAATCTATCACCATATTCTCTAGCTAAAAGATATAATCACACTATCCTCGATAAAAATTACACACAGTATAAACCAAAAAGGACCAGCAGCCTTACAACAAATTAACGCCCAGTGGCGGAGCTAAATGGAGGGAAGGGGATCCAATTCGTTGCAAAATTTTACTGTGCAAATAGGAAAAATCTAATCTTTTTTGTTATATATAAACTGTTGAGTCACCTTGATATAAGGAAAAAGTCTAGTGAAATGGCAAAATGGGTTCAACAGGTTCAAGTTCAAATGACAAGCGTGACATTCTAGTATTTTTTTCTGAATTCCCTTGTATAAAATTCCTGACTCCACTACTATTAACGCCAATGGATAACGTTAAAAACACAAAACAGAAGTGTAACAAAACACTCCCATGCCTAAATTAGTCGGAACCTGAATAAAACCCTAATTTCACTTTAAGTCATTTCCTGAGTAACAAATTATAAGTACTGTATATATATATNAGAGCCTCCAATTAGCCTAGGGTTTCGAAGTTGTGCCGGCCGAGCTTCCACTCTCAGGTACTTCAACAGTGCGATTCTCGCCGCCATTGAGAATGGAGAGAGAGAGGGAGGAGAAGGCCAAAGATTATGGAGAGAGAGGAATAGCCACGTCAGAGATGTTTAGGCGATTTATATATCAGACATAAACTGCAATTAAATGCGATTAATAAAGCGTTTTAGCGGTATTTTACCGAGTAGTTGTTGCAGTAATTAGTGTTTCAAAGGGCATAAGGCGAACCGTTTTAAATATGTGTCAGCGAGGCGTAAGCCCCGAGACACGGGACGTAAGCCCATATATATTTAATTTTTAATATTTTATAAAATAATATAATTATATTAAATATTTATAAATAGTAAAATTACATAAAAATTAAAGAAAACTATAAATATGTGAAATATATATATATATATATATATATATATATATATATGTGCTCTATCCCCATAAAAAAATATTCAAATCAATCTATTATACAATACTTAGAAGCACAACTAACTTGAGTCGAAAAGAATAAAATTTTCTACACGAAGGATGACTAACGTGTAATTTGAACTTTGAACTTTCTGCTACGAAGGAGAATGTAGTTCTCTTTGTATTTGTAAAAAATAAATTGAATATTCGTTACTTTTGAGAGATATTAGCAGACTAACAGATAAGATAAAGAATTGGGAAAGACCATGAAATCAATAAAAAAAGTCTTGACTTTTAAATTTAATACATTTCAGTTCCTTTTTAAATTTTTTGAGTAATTATCAAGCTGACTTTTGAGAATTTGGGTATTATATGAAGGATTTATTCAATAAAATTTGTTTTAATTTGAAAAAGTCTTTGGGACTTTTGCATCACTAAAAAAATGCGCCTCAAACGTTCGGGCGTACGCCTCGAATTGCTGGGCGCACGCCTATTGAGACTTTCGCCCCACACCATCGACTCGAGGCGTTTTTGGTGTGCCTCGCCGAAGGACTCGCCCCAAAAACGACTTTTGAAACAATGGTTATAATAAAGGACATTGATTAATTCGATTTACAAGCCTTTTCAATTCCCATCTTGGACTTCATTATTAGTTCCATATAAGTATCTTTTTCAAATCTTACTCTTCATTTATAATGCTTCGATAGAGAATGACTTACCAAAAAAAAATGTGGATTTCTCCAATACATAAGAATGAGTTATTCTTCGATATAAGATGACACATATTTACTAAAGGTGTAAAAAGATTCAACTGATAAACCACTATTGAATATGATCGGTGAATTCTATGAGGGCAATGAACATGATTCGATTGAGATTTGAAGAAAAAAAAGATTTGAAGTTAACTTTGAAAGAAGTATTTTAAGTTCAGTTTGTAAATGATATAAATTTCTTAAAATAATCAGTCGAACCGAAACATTAATGCCTTACGTAGAGGATTCACAATTCTATTTTGTCTCTTCTTTTTTCTTTTAATTTTTATGACAGTTGTCAACGCCTAGTTAAGCTCACCACAATTAGTTCTTATGCTGATGGGGAAAAAAATTAATTCTTAGGCTCATATGACAATTCTTTGCTCTTTCATTTCACTTAATTTATATTATTTCACTGAATAAGAAAGAAAGAAAGAAAGAAAGAAAGAAAGAAAAGAAAAGAACTTTTGAAATTTATCTTAAATATAAATGATATTTATGTGGCTACACAAGCATGTTATTAAGGATAAAATAAAATATTCAGACTTAAAAAATTTGTAAATATAAAAATATGTCAATTTTTGTTAAATAATCTAAAAATTTTAAAAAATGGTCACTTAAAATAAACTAGTTCATTTGGCCAAGTTTCTGAATAATTGAAAGCGCTTCCGTTTCTTATGTTTATCAAATTATCCCACAATATGAGAAAAAACTAACCCCATGCCTTGTCAACAACACATCTATGACCAAAGCCTCACAAAACTTGCTCCATCTCTTAATTTGTAATTTTATTTTTTTCATTTTTTAATTAAATAAAATTTAATGCCTAATTAAAGTCTCATAGTAATAAATTTTTTAATTTATTTTATTTACTCAAAGTAGAACTAATCGTGTAAATGAATCTTTATATATCCCCTTTTGTAATTTAATACTTACAAAAACACTCCTTGAAAAGAAGTGTCAAACACAAACTACTTTTCTAATACAATAAAAGTGTTCCTTAAATTATTTAGCCAAACATAAATTGTTACTTTCCCAAAATATTTATGCTAAAACTCCATTTAACGAAAAGCATCTTTCAAAATAAACAGTATCTAAAAGCTTGGCCAAAGATATTATATAGTGAACAAAGCTTGATCCATCACATTAACTTTATGGGTTCAACATTTAAAATTTTTAGTATTAGACCCATTATATTTTTAAAGTTATGGTTTCATATCTACTATTATTGTAATTTCAATGAATTTTTGTAAGTAAATTTATACAGCTCATGAGAAGTATTAGGTTCAGGTGAACCCACGGGCCACGGCCCGAAAGCTGCATCCGCCCCTGGTTACATAACTGATTGGATTAATAAAATTAGTTAGTTGCTGTGCAGAGAGGGAGGAGATCGGTTTTATGACACATTACAAGTGTTATTTTAGTTATATATCTCTTTTCACATGAGAATATGAGACCAACCAAAAATAACACATGAAATCAGTAAATAGAACACATAAGATCTATGTAGGACCATTTTCTTCTGTTCAAATTGTAACTGGTCATAGGAGCTAATTTCCTCCTAAGCAGACAAAATCCTTCCTATTTTGTTTTCTGTGTGGGAATTTCTAATGGCTATTTCTGTTTTAGGGATAGGGTGAGAATTGTTCACAAGGACCAACTAGTACAAAACATCAGTGCAGGAAACTGAGTAGCTCCATCTCTTACATAGAGCAGACCAGGTTGCAACTTGCATTTCTTTCCCAAGTTAAAATTGACAAAGCTTTCAACTTGAAAATGTTCCAAACTTCTTGGACCTTGCATCAAACCACCAAGGCTAAAACCCCATCCGAAATCATCGTCGGGGGTATCGGATACATTAACTGCCCACTGCAAATATTTGGGATTTGATCTTTTCATCTCTACCCAACCACCAATTCTTGTACTTTCGACACGTTGTGACTCTAGTGTTATAGCGATTGATCCATCTAAGAGGCCGTTTTCCTCCAAGGGCGCCTCCGAATGCCCTGACTGTTGTAAACTGCCAATAGGGAATGTCATAGCTGCGAGTCTATGCTGTTCACTTGACAGAGTAGCCGCTTTGTGTATGCCCAAGATGGATAGCTTTGTACTGCTTGTAAGTTGGCAAACAACTTGACCAAAAGTGCCAAAACAATACAAAAGTTTACCGGAGTGTGGCAATGCAGAGACAAACTGAGCCAAGGAAGCAACAGTATTTAACTTTTTTACCATCACAGCAATTGCACTACCATTTAGTTGATTCAGCAGAGGCGGCCCAAATGATGAATAATCTGTCAAGCCCCTTTCCTGGAAAATTTTTGCAAAAGGAAAATTGTTATACTAGTCATTTTGTCCTTGCTTTATACGAGGCTACACAGAAAGGCAAATGAAGATGAAGCAATACAAGTATCGAATACAATATGCAACAACCATCTAATGACCTCCCATGTGATCTTCCTTGTTAGCTAATTGATTTCTCATAATTCCTAATATGTGAGAATTTTTATACCACAAATCTGCAACTTGACTTTTCTCTATTCAATTTTTTTGGTAAAGTGCATCTGCAACTCCTTGTTCTTTTTTTCTTTTCCTTTTCTTCACCTGTTGCTACCGAGATTTTGGCGGATTGTAGACTTAATTACTGCTTGTTAAAGCTTATGCATGCCTTTCATTTATTTGTTAAATTCTGTTTCCATTTGATAGTACTGTAGGTTTGCCATATCCACTTTTATCCCTGTCATTTCCTAAAGCTAAAAGAGATTCGAATTCGATTTTACATTTCTAGTGTTATGTGCATAACATTAGCAGTTTAGCAATTTTTATATGATAGCTATGCACTTGTTCATGCCAACCCTGATACTTGACGATAACAATAAGAATATAAATATCACGAGAATGCGAAATTGATAACTATTAGTATTAGAAATCAGAAAGCAAGCTCAGTACTCAGAAACATTTACCTCACGTGAACTTGTAGGTACTGCAATATCTCTACACCGACCACCAACTGGGATGGCAACTGCGGAGAACCAATCACTAATATTTGCTGCATAAAGAACTTTTGCTAAAGAAAGTGGAGTGCCCTGGATATTTATTTGGCCTCTTTCGCTGCCAACAAACTCTGCAACAAGTGTATCTTTTTCACGAACAGTTGTTTCAAAAGTCAGCCTAGAATCAATTCCAGTCCTAATTGTTCTTTCAATTGCATTGCGCTTGCGTTCATCAATGGTACCGATCATCAACAGTGCCCCCACAGCATCAAATTCTCCCCTTACATTAGTGCTAGCTTCTTGGAATGGACTTCCTTTTGACGATTTATAGAAAGCAAGCACTCGCTCCACCTTCTCTTGTCTGTCTCTTAGCTTCATAATATCTGAAAAAGCTTCTCGCTGCAATCTCTTCAAGATCTCAATCTGTAAATGATAATATTGGAAGAGTTGTAAAGCGCCATTATACAGCTTGTTTCTACCTAGGAATTGGCAAATATATGCAACTAAAGCTTGTCGAGGGCAGCCAGGTTAGGAAATGGTTATGTCCTAAAGCTAATGAGAGTAACAACTAACAAATAGTTCTGAACCAAACTATGTATAAAACAAATCTGGATAAGTCTTTAGCCAGTATTGTCTCCTGGGAAGCTCATCGTACAGGCGTAGTAATACAGCAGCAGATAGTAAACATAGAAGAATTTGATGTTAAGACTAAAAAAGATTAGACAAAATAGAAGAATAGGCAGAAACTAGATGAGGTTAGGGTATATAGTCACTGGTCAGAGCTTTCTCATACTTAAAGAGGCCAATCAGAATAAGGCGAGCCAAATAATAAAGCTTGTGCTAACTATATTAACAACAAAAAATAAATCTTGTGGTTACTGGTAAAGTAAGAATTTGACTGCTCAAGCTCTGAATACTTCCTCTATATCACTGCGCTGCAGTGGAACCAAGCATGACGAGTAACACATAAACTCCACTTTAGATCAATAGTACAAAAGTAGGGACATGTACACTCACCCTTCTCCCTACCTTTAAAAACCACCATATACAAAGAGTTAAAGACTGCCACTCCTCACATAAGAAATAATATTTTCATAACTTTTATTATTTTCCCGATAGATTTTCATTTGCTTCATATAAGATCCACATGAACGAGATTAGCTGTAACCTTGAAGAAATATTAAAGAAATCCAATCAACAATTGGGTCCCTCACTAAATAACTTTTTTGTAATGATAATGGTGTCCGGACCAGCACGTGTGCACCTTGACTCACTGATTAACTTTCTCGGGAAAATAAAAATTTGAACTTTCATATTTTATATGTGATCCAATAGTATCTCCTTTTTTTTCACAACAACATTTACCCAACCTGTCCCCAAGGAGGTGGCTTAACAGTTGAAAAACCGTTTTAGCACCGTTGGTCAATGAAGTGGGAGGAGAACGAGGTCTCAAGTTCAAATCCAAGCTGATGCAAAAACCACCAGATGATTTCTTCCCGTTTGCCTTAACCATAGTGGGCATAGAGTTAACCAGCATCTATGCTGATGGGAGGTAGTAGGTACCTGGTTCAGTAGAATAGTCAGACACCAGCGTCATTACTCATTACAAAGAAAAAATATCTATCGAACCCAACAGAGAAGTTACCTCATAGTATTGAAATATTAAAAATCCATTCAGATTCAGGCCTACACAATTAATCCATTCCACAGAACAAAATCAGCATAAAATAAAACTCTTTTACATTTCTCATCTTTATTCTATAGGTTAATCAGCTTGCACAGGGGAAAAAAGTGAAATTTATCAGAATTAACACGAGAAAACAAAACCAAGGAAACTTAAACAACCCTAATGAGACACCCAAAAATTATATTTTGACAATGCATACTAGAGCAATTGGGTTTGTCTATATGTAATGACTGGGATAACAAAATAAATGAAAAGAAGTCACATTTAAATTACCGGACTTCGACGGTTAGAAGTGTCGCCGCCGCGGAGAACGCCGGAAGCGAAATCTTGGGTAGATTTGGCAAAGGATTTTAGCTTATCTACAACTGAAACTGCTGCTTCCATTTTAAAAGCGTATACACTGAACAATGCGTCGCCCAAAGAGGAAGAGGTCGTTTTTCTGGTTTTTCAATGGTAGCCTTGTTTGTGATTTTACTTTATTCGACTCTGTTTCCTTCTTTTTGCCTCTCTGAATTTATTACAATCTTGTTCGAGCCAAAAGGCCAAAAGAAGATGGAAATGGAATTGCTCACCACGTTCCTCACACATTGAAATTATTTTGTTATGACTTATATCCTATTCTTAATTATATATTAAGAGAAAATAGCAATGTTGCAAAGGGGTGTTCAAAACCAAACCTACCAAAACCGATTGGCTTAATGACTTATTGATATCGGGTTATCGGTTTAACGGATGGAGAACGAATTAAATTTTATTATTAACGGCTTATCAGTTTGGGGCGGATTATTCAATTTTCTTATCGGATAAACCGTTAACCCCTTATCCTACGACTTATTTTATTATGACTTATATATATATATATATATATATATATA